ATTTTTTTTTCCAATACGCTTTCCAATACGCGCTACACTACACGATATAATTTATGTTTAATTGAATTTTATGTGCAAAATGTATGGTATCATACAATAGTTATGAGGTGTGTTGTATTATATTATTTCCTTTCCTTCAGGTCGAATGCAATTTAAACCATCGACTAAATCGCTTAAAGTATTAAACGACGTATGCTTCTGTTGCTTCTCAAAAATCAAATTCTGGTTGTATTTGTTGCATAAAAAATTTGCAAGAATAGTACCTAGGTTTGTGAGGGGAGAATAGCTTGCTGAGATTCGACCTTAATTTTTAAAGAGATAAGAATGTTTCCTGATGAATCAAAAATATATTTATCGCTGCATCAAAACATTATGGTACTTTTATTTCCGTATTATACGTACCGATTTGAAGCAGGGCGATTGCAATACCCAAAATTCTACGCGTCAAATTTTCTACACGTAGATCGAGGATGACGATCATCCGTACTTCCTGCAGTCACTCTTTCTATTAGTAATGTGGCCGTGAGCCAACCTTGTGATCTGTGCTGAAATTTCACCGCGATGTCATTAACGTGAGTTCATTTTCGCCATCTTGTTTACAAACAAGCTGCAATTACCAATATATAATTAACGAGAACAAGTTAATCGGTTATTGCAATTGTGTCACATGATTTTGCCATACTCCGAGGTTGATTAGCTCATAAACATCGATTACGAAATAACTGTATCCTAAAATGATAGTACAAGATACAAATAACGTGTCTTCGTTGTTTCTACAAAATATATAAGGAAATAAAAAATATCGATATCATGAGTGTAATGGATAATTAACGTACACAGTAAATTTAATTATATGTATCTACTTATTTAAATTATACCGTTGTAAGGGAAGAAACTGAAACATTAGTTTTGCATTGAATTATTTTAATTTATTTGACATCATTACTCTTTTATATTTACAATATACGTACATAATGTAAAACAATTACTAAATTGCTAAAGTTTTTTATTTTATTATTAGTTACTAATTACCATTAATATTATTACACGTCTTCATGCAGTTTAATATTATATCTGATGAATACATGTGCAGTGAGCAACAAAAGCATCTGAACGATAGAATGTTCATAGGTACACTAGAAGCATAAACATGATCTAAATGATACGTTAGACTAAAGAAAATTGCGCATGCATTAAACACATACAAATTCAAATAAAATTGAATAATATGCATAAAGTTTATTATAACAATGTGTATATGATGTAGCGACCTGTCGTTCAAATACCTTTGTTACCTACTTATTTTGCAACATAGTTGGATTATGTTCTATGAAGAACATAACTATGAACTGAGTAAAAAGTCTGAGTAAAATTAAAATTGCTAAAATAAAATGTACGTAAATGTGTAATAAAAAAATACGTAGAACGTGTTATCTTCCTGGTAACATATTGAGTAATCTGTATAAATAATATTATTGGTATTGAATTAGCTTCAATATTTAAGTAGAAATACATCTTAATTTAATACAGAATTAATATTAAAATAATAATATTTAAGTTTTAATGTTATAAATTCATAGTTAATTTAAAAATGCTTTTATATTCAAAACACAATTTGTATTAATTTGAAAATTAATTAAATTTGTTAGATACAAAATGTTCATTATGGATTTAAAGTTAATTAGTTAAAAAGAGTATACATACATTAATTACATATGCTTTTAAAAATAACGCCGGTAAACGTATCGGTATCGTAAATTTTTGATACGAAAGGTTTCAATTGACGTTTTTACTTACACTACCGCTCATAAGTATTGGGTCATATGATCTGTATGAAGATGTGATTTCGTCAAAAATGTGTATTTTAGGCCACGTTTATTATTTCGTAGTAGCATAAGCGTTGTCCATTGAGCTTTAATATCCTCTAAACAGTATTTATTTTAAACCTTCAGTAATTTTGTAGATAAAATTTTATATCCTTTAGTGTATATTCGATAAGTGTTCTAATATTTGTGAGTGGGAGTGTACATTGGGTGATAATTAACATGCCATGAGAAAGTAATAAATCCTCAATACCTCCGTTATTAAGAAATAATCAGATGGACTCGTAAAGCTGCTCATAGAATTTAAGGGTTTATAAATAGACCGATGTGATATTTTCATTCAAGGATTTTGCAGATCAGAATTGCACTTTGTGACGCTTGGGGAACGTAATTCGGAGTTATTGGGTGGGAATATTCTACTTTACCAATTTTTTGCAACTACTTTCCATTTTCAATTACAGAATTCCATTGCATCAATTATATGCAACTGCAATTGCTTTAACTCAAAAGACAAACCTACTTCTACAGATGGATATTGTTCTCAAAGTCTTTTCTTGGTAAAAACTATTCTAGCGATTTAAAGAAATAATATTCTGATGGGACAATGTCTAATTATTTAAGTACAAGCTATAAACTTTTCTAATCGGAGTACTGCAATTTTTTTACGGGTTTGATAAGACGTAATGAAAATGAACTTCGTGCTTGTTCGTACGTTTCATCGATATTTCTCATAGAAAAGAAAAAAAAACGACGAGTAGCTTGTACAACAAATACATCAAATTCTTCCCCTTAGATCCTACGATGTTTTGAAATTTGACGATATTGAAGTATTTATAATAGTATGATAAACAAATTTTTTCTTAAATCATAGAAATATGGTGTAACTTTTTCATGTAGTGGGCTTCTATAATATCGTGTCAAGTGTTATAATGCATGTTTTATATTTCGGCAACATAATATGTAAGTTATTTTATGTACGTTTTTCAATCAAAAAATTGCCCGCAGTTGCATAAACACAACATTCTGTTACATAAAAAGTACCGATCTAAACATTTTTTTATTGCATTTATGTATATTCTTCCGTATACATTTTTATAAGTAATAAATAATTATATGTCCACAAATCGCCTTATTTCACTGCTTGAAACTTAATGTGTGAAGAACGCTCCAATATTATAATAACAACTTTGTAACGGCAAATATAACTTACTACTAGACTGCGGATTTAATGCATTTATAGCCCATAGGGATCTGTAAAATACAATAAAAGGCAAACCTTTCATCGGATCCAGTGATTTTTCTATTTTAGTCTGAACCCAATAAGACACTTAAGAGTAAAAATCAATTTCTACATATGCTCCTGTCTTTATAAATTACTTTAGAAAATGTTATTTTACACAAAAATTCGCAGCTACTTATAACGGAGTAATAATATGATTGTTTATCTATGATAACACGCAACACGATTAACATTGCAGTGGTCGAACAAACTTCTACGGTACATAATATCTTCTGTTATCACCACCTTCGTCGTATCGTTCGCACAAACAGTTTTATGATACACAAAGTCACCGATAATCTTCTCGTCATTCCGAATACGTCAACGTCACCGGCAAACTGTACCATCCATTCGTTTTAATTTATGCACGGCATTGCATCTCGCAGCTGTTCCGCCGGTTATTTTCGCGGGCGGATTAAGTTAAGCTCAATCGACTTTTCTTCCTTGTCTCTTTCTCTTCGCTGATGTGTGCGGTGTTAACAACCACGTAATTTTATTTTGCGGTGTTAAAGCGTTCCCGAGTATTAAGTAGAAAACAAGATTTACGAGCCAAGACCAGATACGGGAGATACGGCACCTCCTACGCGAATTGTATTCAAATCGCTATCGTAAACCATCGTGGCCTGTCGAGATACGAATCAGCCTTTGAATTTGAGTTCTACAAAAATATATTGGGCTGTCTCATAAGTCCTTGCCGGGTTCGTTGCTTTTCGAACGTTTTCGTTTTCAAATCGAAGCAGGTCCGAGAAGTTCCTAGAATGTGATTAATAGGGAACGCAAATGGAGCAACATCAACTGTGAGCTACAGGAACCTCGCGATTATTGATTGACTGTTGATCCATGATTATTGTCCTGTACCGATTTGTCCTATGTCCTGCGACCTTTTGGGAAAGTAAACATATTCCATTTGCACTTGCCTAATACATTGAATAACTCTGTTTATATTTAAATTAAATAAATTAATATGACGTAGAACATTTAAGGTGCAATAACTTGAATAATAGCCACACTTGTTTGTTAATGCTGAATTAGTTTTATATTTATTTATATTATTTATATTTATAACTTTTGTTCAATTTTTGCACAAGGAACATAACTTATACGTTCACGTTAAGTAAAATACGCATTTTTACTGTAACTTCGCATTGTTTTATTTCTGACAGAATATACAGTAATTAGTATGAAATTTTAATATTCTCATTAATCTGTAAACGTAAATAACATGATTGGATATTATTGGATCAATTCAAACGTTTCTATGGATTTCGCTATAAAAAAGCAGACTAATAACATTTTTTAATTATAATTCCGCAATAATTTAATAAAGTACATAATAGTTCTTTTATAACACATGTACGTTCAATAGAAAATTTACAAATATCATTATTATCGTTGAATTTGTATAATTAAATTATATTAATAAATTTATAGTTTATCGGATATTGGGATTAGTACTCCTACAAATTTCGTACAGAAATGCGACACGTGAATGGAGCCTATAAAAGATTATACTCAACTTTGTTTTAACACAATAAAATACATTCAGTCATGAAAATTTTTGTTCCGAACAACATTGTACATATTGACATGGGTTCATAACACAATACATTAACAAGATTGTTTCCACAAACCCATGGCAGTAATATGGTCTGCAGAAAATCCTTCAAGACGTTTTCAGTGACCTAACACAAGTAAACTTTTCTAGACACAATACAAACGTCATTATCATTAAATACCATACAGACTTCGATAACAAACACAGTCCTCGAGATTTATTGTTACAAATTTGTATAAAAATAGGTGAAATCCATAGGACCTAAGCTTACACATAAGTGGAAACTAGATTAAAACCGAAATTTCTGATGTTAAGGTGTAATATACATATTCCTGGTTTCTAGGCAAACACTGGAAATCGAGAAGCGGAAGAACCGGGTAGCAGCAGGACCTCGCCCTCGGGGGCCAGGCACGCCGACGGGATTTCTGGGTCGTCCGTCCTCGCGATGGGCAGCACAGACTCGGCGGGCAGCGCCCATAATGGTGGCCCTTCTTGCGGCTTGGTCACATCCCTTTTCCCAAGTAGCTGCCGCGGTCGAGCGGAGGCCTTCGCCAGACATCTTCATCGACGACTGACGTCGCTCGGTGGTGAACACAGTTCCCAACAGAATACGGATTCGAATCCAAAGGAAACATCCTGGTTACGTACCTCTTCCACGACAAAACCAGTAACGAACAACGCGATGAGCAATAACGTTCTACAACACCAGCCCCGTCACCGTCCCGAAACAGATCTCTGTTACGACTTCGATTTGGACATCGAGGACGGGCTCAGTTCACCCGCCGAAGAGGCTACGGCGGCCGAGGTGGCGGATCTGTTGGTGAACCCGGAAGTGTTGAAGGCGAATCATCGCGAAGGTTGCAATTGCTCGCCGAATGGCTCGAAGGCGATGTTGTCCAGTTTGGATTTAGAATCAGGTGGCGTGTTCGCCTCGCCTATCGCGGGAACGTCGCCGGACAGCGACTCCTCGGATATCTATTTCGATCCGGAGTCTTCGGATGCAGAAAAAAAGAACGAAGTCTACTTCGATCCCATCACGACCTCGGACAGCGAAGTGACTACCTCGAATCTCTCAAACGGTTGTGAAACAACAAAACGCAAGGGTCTGGTTTACCGTAGAAGGCCGGAGATCAGTGTCGAACATTCCGAAGATACGTCGGAATCGAGTTCTTCGATAAGACGGAATAATTTCCGTGACAAAGAGTTCAAGAAGGACGAGGTAGTCGGCAATTCGGAAGACTCGAACGAAAGAAGCTCTTTAGAGACCACGTCGCCCAGTCACGAATCTCTCTGGAGCACCTTCGATGAGAATACTGTGTCCCTTCAGGACGAGAGTCCCTCTAGACTTAGTCCTAATATAACTACTCTACAGAATCGACTACCAAAGTCCCATTCCGATTCAGAGATACCTCTCCATGGGCCTAGAATACTGATCTCTCACGAACTATGCAGGAGGGATGAGAAAGTACAAGTCGATACCGATGAGGTGGATTTTGTGAACGGGATTTCCGAAAATGGCAAGCTCGAGGACATCAAAAACGCCAGGAACCTCGTGAAGGAAGAGTCCAGCTCGGAATCTTCCGAAAATACGAACGAAGAGGAACTTCCATACGACGGAGATAATTCGAAGGAGTCGATTCTGTTACAGTCGAATAGTGTGTGCAGTTTGAAACCGGTCGAGGTTGTATCCAACGAATCAGACGATCATTCAACGTACAGTAGCATGATTAGTATACCCGGAGCGTTAACATTAGAATGTCATTCGGGCGAAAGAGTGATAGAGGTGACGATGAAGAACGAGGTGAAACTGCAAATCGAGAACGGAAGCGTGACGAACAGCAGCGACGAAGACAAAATGTGTCTTCTGTTGCAGAAACTCGCGACCAGTCCAACAGTCAAGGACGACGTTCCTATACCCACCGAAGGGTCCAGCGAAAACGTCGAGGCGGAAGAGGAAGAGGAAGAAGAAGAAAGACCGCAAAAGATCAGACGTTGTTCCTCTTTGAAAACCGGGAAGACACCACCCGGCACGCCGGGGAGAAAGAAGATTGTCAGATTCGCAGACGTTTTAGGCCTGGATCTCGCCGATGTGCGAACGTTTTTGGACGAGATTCCGAAAGTACCCAATTCAGCTTACAGCGATTTGATATACAACGACATCTTCCAGAAAGATACCAGTCCGGTGAATACTATTTCGAACACTTGGGATAACCGGTACATAGACAACAGAAGGGGATCAAGCTGCATAGTACCTTCTCGAAAAATGGACAGAACACTGGTGCCTATGTTCCAACAGCCTGGAGGTCTACCAAATTTCCTAGACGTTGTCCGGGAGCGTCGAGTTTGCCTGGAGAACGTTCTCGTCCAGGATCCAGTCTCTTTGTGCATTCAGGGTAGCGTCCGGGTGATCAATCTGGACTTCCATAAATCGGTCCACATCAGGTACACATTGAACTCCTGGAGGAACTTCAGCGATCTGCAGGCCACCTACGTGCCGAACTCCTGCGACGGTTTTAGCGACAAATTCTCGTTCGTTCTTTATTGTCACACGCTGGCGGTTGGGCAAAGACTCGAGTTCGCCGTTCGTTTCCAATGCAAAGGCGTACAATACTGGGACAACAACGCCGGGGCCAATTACTGTTTCCAGTGTCTACCGGCATCGTCCACGGTCGGATACATACCGATCACCGCGTCGGAAAGCCGAGAACACGACTGGTCGCCGATGTTTTACTGATGGACTCTCTGATCGTCGGTGTTTGTAATGGTTTACCGAATGGGGACAGGGATATCTCACAAGAGAAGAGCGTGGACATTAAAACGAACCCGGCTAAGGCTAAAACTAGCGACCAAGACAGCCTACGGATACATAAACGTTCCTAATGTGTGTACCTATTGCACGTAAACTGTCCTGAAAGACGGGAAGAACAGGTTGGATAACGAAAGGAGCAGGGATTTACACTGGCGTCAATTATTCTTTCGTGCCATTTCCTCGCGAGTTCTCCGAGTGGACCGGAAGAATTTGACGCGGCCGTTAGACTGACATTTTTTACACGTTCGTTGTTCCTTGTTTACACAAGCATACTTATTTTTCTTTTGTTATTTTAACGCCGATTAACTTTCTTTTGAAGGGAATCGATTTGACTCGTGATTGAAATATTTTTAACGTTATAACAGTCCGCGCAGAAATTATGTATATTTTTTTGAGAAATTTTACACCGATCATTGATATTATACCTGAGTCTTATAAAGACGAGGCGCTTCTGGACCGAATTTTTATTTATATCGACGTATTTAAAGGGCAAAAATTTGTAAAGAAAACATGATTTATTCTTTTCTTCTAAATGCGAAAGGGATATGTGTAGCCACATGGAAATCGTAGACAGGAAATGTCACGTGTCGGGAATGCATCGAATCGCATCCCCGGGGGATGAAAAAAAAAAAATCGTTTTCACGGGATTGGTAAAGAAAAGCTTTGCACACGTTTCTGAGCAGCCTTAGTGATGATCAGTGAGTGATGAATGAAATTGCTCGCGAGATGGTACGCGAGAGATAATAATAAATGTTGTCAACGCAATCCAGACTAGCAATTAAACGAAGCAGGTCGCGATTAGAACGGGACATTTACAGTGTTTTGGCAGCGATCTCGAGAATCGAGAACGAAGTTTGCGGTTAGATTACGGTGCCAACCAGGCGACTTTGTTCCATGCGAAACAGCCGAGATACTCAATGGATACGCACTCGGTTAATTGTTGAATTAAAAGTAAAACGGTGACATTTGTCAGCGACAATTGATAGCCTTTTGATCTTGTTACTGCCCCCGAATAACAGACCACAATAGGGACGAACCAATTCGAATTAATAGTAACACTCGATATAACGATCAAGCCTCGAAAGATCAAGTAACGATTGAGATATAGTATTTCATGACACTGTTATTTTGATAAGAGCGAGCATGTTATTTTGTAATCGTGATTGTTGCCACCGGGGCCTGAAAACGTTCGCGTTTGCAAAATTCTCGGGTAATAGATGACATATACATATGATATTAAAGTTATTGGTACAGATGAGCTCTGTCGAGAACATCGTTATATTTTTTAATAGTTCTCTTCATATAAACTGCTTTCTGTAATGGACAAATGACTGTGTATATATTATACGGGTGTACACTTGTTAGCTTCAAGAATTCATACCGAAGGAAATACGTTTTCCCCTATTAGGAAAAAATTGAGAGTAATTTTCATTGGAATTAAATATTAGTATAAAAAGAAATATTAAAACAAAACCTTTGATACTTCTTATTATCTTTATTTTTGTTCAGAAGATTGAAAACGTTTAATATTTCGTAATGTTATATCTCTGATGAGCGGTCAAAAGGGTATAAGTCAGAATTATTGATTTTGCAGAGAAGTATTTATAATATTTAATATCATATTAAATGTTAAATATTATAAGTGCTTCTCTGCAAAACTAATCAATCTGGCTTATAGTCTTTTGCCAGTCCAACAGAGATGTGCACAGCTTTTTGTAATTATCACATTTAATGTACATTACATCACTTTGTATTTAACAAATAAGCTAAACTTTCGGTACAAATTAGTTTATCGATGTTATCTTCAACTACTGTCAAATTTCCTGTTCTGTTTTACCTACATCTTCTATTTTTTAAATCTTTTAACTGATTACTTTTGCCATGGACAGTAATATCATTCTGTAAATTTTGAATCCACCTCTTTTCACGAATTGCATTCTCTTGTACACAAAGTATTGCTCTGGGTAAAGTCAAGGAAAACATGGCAGACACGCCTAATAGAAAGAAAACACGAAATTAACAGGAAGAGATGTGGGGGATGGTTTTTCCTAAAAGTGTTGTGTTCCAGAATTGAGGGTTTCATAACAAAAACTCCGCTTGTCAATATTTTTCTTTTTCTGGACGAGTAAAAAATGGTCTGTCATCTTTCATTTTTGCTCAGTCATAAATATTCAGAATAAGTCAGGACATAGATCGTTTTTGATACTAAATGTTCTATCGTGTTGTGATTCATTTCTGACACTGAATCTGTCAGTCAAATGTCTGATATCATTGTTACCAAACGATCAAAGTATTTCCTTCATACGGTACGAATTCCTATAACAAAGTGTGCATAAGTGGCATCAGTATTGGTGGCAAAAATGTGTCTCGAAAACGTGTTTTTTTTTCTAACTTTGAAATCACGTTTTTGTTTCCTTATACCCATTCTCCCTATTATAGCAGAAGATATACTCAGCCTAAAATATTAATTTCAGTACATGTTGCTCTTTAAAGTTTATAATTGTATTGGAAAGCAGTAAATATTGCTCTACTGTATCATTTATATTTTTTTATTGTACATATACAATTTGAAGTTATTACAAATTTGAAAATAGAATTTTTATACTTTTACCGATATGACTACAATATAAAATAATAAAAAATAATTTGTTAATATCCAGTAAAAAATACTTTTAAACTATTGTTTTATTCGTCGAAAGTATTCGTAGCGTTTTATTTTGTTAGTCACATTATAACCACCATTATTGAAGCCCGAAATATTTATATTATTCAAACGGGTACTATTCAGACGAAATGGAAGCTTGTTCCGGTTACTGTGTGTAAATACATATGAAAGAATGCAAATTTCTATTCTGATTAACGATAAAAGCAATATTCTTCCACGTGGTGAAACTAATGAAGTTATTGAAAATTCTAGAGACAGTTAATCACCAGAATAAAGAAATGAGATATTTTAATCATGTTGCGAAAACTTCAGTCCACGCGTTAAATAAACAGGGTGTTTAACTAATTTCTGTACTAAACTATCATATTTCTTCAATTTTGTTATAAGAAGAGACCTTTCATATTACGTATAAGAAAAGGAAATAAGACCGTAAGAAATGGAAGCAATGTTATGTAAGTTATACAATTTTAAAACAACATGACGTTGTTTTTCTTTTCGAAATTATAATTCCTAAGATCTCTTCATATGGTAAAATTTTCAATCGATACTATGTTAAAACCAATGTTAACGGAAGACTGTATAGGCAGCTTCTGAAAACGATTTCCAGAACAAAATGATTTTATGTTATCCGTAATTGTTAACAATAATTATACTCATTATATGTGCAAACACATAAAATGATACGATATATAAATTGTAAAAGATTACTGTTATTGTTACAGTTCTCTAGTCTGTAGTGTTTACATAAGTACTTAGATTGGGAATAGTCATGTAATATTTTCTCCTTAAAATGATCCTTTGAAGTGTTTACAATTTTTTCCTTCGTTATGAAACACCCTATATATTACCCACTTCGCCATCAACGAAGAAAGATCGAAAATTTTATAATTGTTGAATTGTTGGTGCACAGGATTGCTTTCACAAAAATGTCGAAACCTACCTTCGATGATGCTCTACAGTGAAAACACTCGTTACTCGAAAGCATCGTAAATCAAGTGACACCCTGTTAATTAAGAACAAATTATTTTTGCTAATTTTCGTTGTTCATATTCTGTAAGTTTCTCAGCGAGCAAGATTCTTAAAGAAAAAATGACATCAAGTTTTACGTGAAACGTTCCCTCGGAAATTGATTTTCCACGGCGGTAGCGACGGTTTTCGAATGAATCTTGCGTCGCTGAGAAATTCAAATATGCCCGGGAAAAACTCTATTCTTAGTCTCGAACGTAGAAAGATTTTTACACCGTGCCGTTTTTTTTAGCTTGTTCAGTAATTATAGAAACCAATTGTATAACAATTCTAAGGTTCTGACACTGATTGAAGTCAAGAATTATTTTTAAACATTTAACTCGGTTATTTTCTACGTATCTGATCCAAAATGAAGTTTACTATGTATATGTATACAACCACGTACGAATATTTATACGATTTTATACGTCCTCTATTCTATACTCATTTATAATAGAAATAGGAGTATTGTAATTACACATATTACAAGTAAGTTGAATATTATTTAAATAATACATCATAAACGTTTTTTCGTCAATATATTAACATTTTCATAGTTCTTTGTTTAAAGATACATACTTCTATAACAAAGTAGAGTTTCTACAAATAAGACATTTTAATTTCTTTTTTATTTTAACGTTCACAAATATTATTACAAATTTCATCCGAAGAAAAATTACTAACATTTCGAATCAGTTTCTTCATAAACGAAAAACATTTTGAATCCCACAAAGCAGAACAAGGACTATTATTGCGTACTTTAAAGCTATTTTGTTTATTGTGTTTTTATCTTTCTTTTTTTATTGTCCAGTTAAATATCCATTTTTCTAGTCTCTCGAATTAGTGGAAATACTTATTGTATTTTTGTTGGTGAAAAACGCACCAGATAAAAGCGATCACGATGTTCACGATGAAAAGAAAAGTTACACTCGATACCATTTCATTTCTTCGTTCGAGAAAAATATTTCTACGTTCCGAGACGAAACAGTTACAATGAAAACCATAGCTGGTAATGGTACTATATTTTTATATGTAACGTACACGTAAGCACATGTCGCACCTCTAGTCCGTAAAGCCGTGTGTTTTCGTCCAATTACCAAGCCTTTTACAGTTTTTAACGAAAATGGATAACGAGGTGAAATCGACATTGAACAAAAAAAAAGTATCAAAGCGAGGCGAAAAAAAATCGAGCGAGAGATCGCGTGCATGCATATGTAATGTAATAGTGGGGATGAATGCGAGAGCGAATGAAAAAAAAAACGTATGAGAATGTTGATAAATGGGTCCATCCATTTGTGACGGTCTAATTTTTATTTTATAACTACAAGTTTTAATCCGTTTCCTGAGCTATTCGTTTCGTGAGAAGAAATTGTATGTTTCGTTTTATTTCGGCTGTGAAACAAATGGATAAAGAACTTAACGGACCTAGACTCCGAAGTACGAATTAGATAATGTTTTTGCGTGTATTTAATATGCTAACTTCCGCTGGCGTCTGTTTATTTTCTGTCTTCCGGTTTGTTGGAACTTTTAAGTTCGGTTCATCTTGTTCGATAGAACTCGAATGTTCGTCAAATTATCAGTCTTTACGACTTC